TTTTTTGGATAAGTTCTTTAGTTTTATTGTTAGAGAAATCTAAATTGGCTGAGTTTATACAATTAGTTATTGCATTGAGAAGATTGCTAGTTCTGAGTTGTGGCTAATAGGAGATGATAAAGAAAATATTAGAAAGATAGTATTATTTTATATCTACTTCTTTTAAGATAGTAGGTAACTAGAATGATTTTAGACAGTGAACACTTTGTAACCTCACTTATTATTGTATTATAACTAAGTTAGAAGGTGTTTTTTTAGAAAACTTAACAAAGAAGATTTAAAGCAATTTGTAATTACAAAAAAGGTTACAATTAAAAGTATATAAGAATACTAATAATTGTTTAATTTAAGTAGTATAAAGTAGTAGTTTATTAGTGAAAGAGTATGAAGACTCAATATTGAATTTGAGCTTCACATTGACTATTTTTATACTTTTTGGCTACATAGTATATGTAATGGCCTATTTTTTTACATGTACAAGATATTTTACAACTACTATTAATAGAATAAATAAGATATATTTGATATATAAAATAAATAAAATAAATAATATATATAAACTAAATATAATATGAAATATATATACCGTAAAGTCCTGAATATAAGCAACCCCCAAAAATAAGCAATACCCTGCAGTTCGAGATCAAAATGCTAGAAAAATAAAATAAGCAACCCCTTTTTTAAAAATTACTAAATATGTATACTGTATTTAAAATTTATTATAAATTTTATTAATTTCAATTCAAATTTTTTACAAAAAAATCAATTTAATCTTCTAGTTCTTCAGCAGATAAACTATCTTCTTCAACTACCTCAAACAAATCTTCATTATTATTGATTTCACTATTCTCTTGATCTGAATTATATAATAAATCGTCTTCTGTCCCATCTAATTCATTAGAAATACCACATTTTTTAAATAATTTAATAATCATTTCTGCAGAAATATCATCCCACACTTCTAAAATCCATTGGCAAATTAAACTATATAATGGTTGTTTTAAATTTTCTTTTTTAGTTAACTGAAATTCGCTATTACTCATCTACAAACACCATTTTTCCTTTAATCAGTCTTTAAATGATTTATTAATACTCACATCCAAAGGCTGTACGATTGATGTTAAACCTTCTGAAATAATAGCTTTATAAATATTATTAACTGCACATTTATTTTTTACAATATCAGTAAGATGTCCTTTGAATGAATCCATCACAAGCAAAGACAAAGGTTTGTTTACAATTGATGCTTCAGGTTGCTTGTTCCAAACTTGGTCAATCTATTCGCTCATCAAATTTTCATCCATCCAGGCACTTTCATGCATACATACAACAATGCTACAAGGCAGATTAGAGGGAATTTGTACATCTTTAAAAATTACTATAGGAGAGAGTTTGTTACCATTTGCCGTAATTGCCAAAACACAAGTAAACTGGTTTTTTTCATTTCCAGTTGTTCTAATTTGAACCATTTTAGCACCTTTATTATTAATTGTATAAGAACTTGTCATATCAAAATAAACAGATGTTTTATCCATGTTTATGATTTGAGAAAGATCATACTGATATTTTAATCGAGCTTGAATTACAAATTTATGAAATTCAATTATTTTTTCAGTGAGATCTTCAGGTAACTTTTGGCTAATTTTAGTATGACAGTGAAGAGAAAGTTGGTGTCATTTTAAAAACCAGTAAAACCAAGATTTGGATGCATGAAATTGTTGTGAAGCATCTGGATATTTATCTGCACAGGTTGTTGATAAAATTGTATATATTTGCATTTTAATAGAACCTGATGTTACTGCAATTCTCATTTGTCAAAGTTCATTTAACTATTTAATAAGCTCTTCTTTAGCAGCTAAGTAAAATGAAGTTCTTCCTGCACCAACACATCAGTTACCAGATACAACATTATTAAATTTTTTTTCATTATTCTTCCATTGTGATACCATAGATTAATTAATACCAAAGCAACGTGAAGCAGCCAAAACACCAATTCGTTTTGCTTCTTGAATAACAGTAAGTTTTTCTGATATCTTATAAGAAGTTCTTTAAACACAACTTCTAACTTTAACTGCCTTGTTATTGCCTATAACAGTATTCATTTTTTTTTTTTTGTTTTTGTTTTAGTCTTACAGGTTTTTTTTGGTTTCCTTTTTTTTTTTTAGTATGTGAAAAAACTAACCTACTGGTATTCAACATGAAAAAGATACTGTATGTACAAAAAAAAAAATCTTGATTTAGAAAAATACAGTGTGTATAAAATGTGATATAACACTAATGCATTTTTTTTTTTTTTAAAAAAAAAAAAGGATACCATAACGTACATATGTACATCGTTTGCATCTAAGATAAGTCTATACAATAAAACTGAATAATAGAATTCAGACATTCAATTGTAAAATAAATTTGTGTTTTATTTCACAACTTACAGGATATATTATAGTCTT